TATGGTAAGGAACGTTTTCATGATTTTTGATTTAAAAAGTTCTTTTATTTCTCTACCTTTGTTGAAGCAAGCGCAAATGGCTTCAGTCAAGATTTCCTATCAACTTACTGAAATCTTAGCTTTATCCAATTTCACCACATTGCTCAACTTTCCAAAAAAAAAGAAAAGGCTTTTAAAATTTTATAGAATCTATAAAACAGAATTTTCAATGGATGCAAGATATTTGCTCTTTATTTTTTTCCGACACAAATGATATTCTACTTTAATATCGGGGATTCGAAGTCAGCTGTAGAATCGGCTACAGAGTTGCACTTTCACTTTTGCTCACCATATGCTATATTGGAATGTTACATTAGAGAATTCCATTAGCGAGTAAGAGGTTGCAAGGTGGTCCATTTTAAGCCAATTTCGCAAATTAAAAAGGGTAAACTACGATAGGTATATAAGCTCCACACCAGTGTAAAAAGTATTCAATCGCTCTCTCCTTCTTTCCCTCTCTGTGATCGCTCGCAATCAGCCAAGAACAAGAACTGAATCGCTTTAAAGTTCAAAGCTCTCACCCAATCAACTCTCTTCTATCAGGTTTGCTTCTTCTTCTCCGTACGCGTCTTAGGATTTCGTTTCTTTATCCACCGTCAATGGATTCCCAAGAAGCTATTTTTTCGACGTTCGCGTGTCTCACGAGGATGATGGTTTCGTCTGGTTTTGATGCTGGTGTAGGGTTTCAATCTTAGGCTTACTTATAGTTTTCTTTAGGAGACGCTGGAGGTTAAATTTGAAAAGAAATAAAATTCGTAATGTATTTAAGGGATTTAACATGGAAGGAAGGTTTCGCAAATCGAATTTGGCTCTTTCCGTGTGCTCGCCCATCTATTGGAATTTTGAAGCTTCTAGGGTTTCATATGTGTGTATATATATTTATATATATGTACGTATATATGAAGAGTGGACGAAATGTTGAATTTGAGAATCTGGGGAATCAAATTAAGGGTTCTCTCCAGAAATTAGCATTTCTAGTCATTCAATTTCTTCGTGCTGCCTTAGAAATTCGAATTTTCATGGAATTGCTGATGGGATAGAGTATGGTTGATATCAAGGGTTTTGTTGGTATATAACGTTTCTGCTTGGGTGATATCGGAAGCTGTGTCTCTGTGATTTTCATTTTCTTCTATATTTGTGTTTATAGTATGGCCACTAAGGAAGTGAGAAGGCTGAGACCAGAAAGTTCAGTTTATACTCGACCAGTAGGAGTATCTTCAAAAACTGTTTGCGCCTATTGGATTGCTGGAAGGTGCACTAAGAAGTTCTGTAGGTTCTTGCACACAAGTGCACCCTCTACACTGGCGAACCCTCACATTTCAAAGCAGAAGGCTATTCAGAAGGGCAATGCATACAATGCTACTCAGAAAAGCAATGTTGTTCAGAAGTCCCCAGAAAAGGTCTGCAAGTTTTGGGTAGTAGGAAATTGTGTTGAAGGTGATCGATGCCCGTATTTGCATACATGGTTTCGTGGAGCTGGGTTCTCAATGTTGGCGAAGCTCCAAGGGCACAAGAAGGTACTTCTGATTTCAAAAATAAATGTCTTTAATTTGTTTTGTTCTCTGTTTTCTTTCCACAAGAACCTAGAAAAGTTGAAGAGGTTAAGAGGAAAAAAATCATTTTGGCTATTACTTTCTGTATTTTATCCATGTTACTTTGTAATTTGTATTATTATTAGTGATTTTGATTTTCAAAATTATAATTCACATGCTGCCAAACTCAGTTGTTTATAGAAGATAAAGCTCACATAAAGGCAGTTTTTTTTTGTTTTTTTTGTATATCGTGGTCTCCTTCAAAATTTATGTTTCTTTTTTTCACTTTTACAGAGAATAGATAATTCTATGTTGTTTTTGTTTATTTGTGAAGTTGGACTATCATTGTTATGATGAAATGTATTTTAACAGGCTGTCACTGGGATTGCACTTCCTGAAACATCTGACAAGCTTTATTCAGCCGGTACAGATGGAACAGCCAGAGTTTGGGACTGCCGGACTGGTCAATGTGGCAGTGTGATTAATCTTGGTGGTGAAGCAGGTTCTTTAGTTAGTGAGGGCCCATGGGTTTTTGTTGGTGTACCAAATGTTGTCAAGGTACTTGAGCTTGTTCATTTTTAACTTCATTGTTGTACCAAATGTTGGTTCAATATACATGCTGATTGTTCGTGATGTTGCAGGCATGGAACATTCAGACAAACGCTGAATTCAACCTGAATGGACCTGTTGGCCAAGTGCACGCCATGGTGGTTGCTAATGAAATGCTTTTTGCCGGGGCACAGGTAATGACCGTAACAGTTCTGCAAGTTCCCAATAATTGCATCGCTGGGCTTTTACGATAATCTTCATCCGTTTATTAATAGTGCCATTTAACATGAATTATTTGTTTCTTTTAATACTGTGCAGGATGGTGTTATATTGGTGTGGAAAGGTTGTTGTGAAAGTAATCCATTTCAGCTGGCTGCAACTCTGAAAGGCCACACTCAAGCTGTGGTATGTTTAACTGTTGGGCGCAGTAGGCTTTACTCAGGTTCTGTGGACCAAACAATCAGGGTAAGTTTGTGGCATCTACGAACAAGTTTTTCAACTTCTACAGTATACTGTTGGCATAGTGTTTGAAACTGAATATGATGTTTCAGAAAAAAATAAAATAGAACTTTGATTCTTAAGAACTTCTGCATTTAGTGTGTAATAGGATGATTTATTATGATCTTCCTGTTTCAGGTGTGGGACCTTGATACTTTACAGTGTATTATGACACTAAATGCGCATTCTGATGTGGTGATGTCTCTTATTTGCTGGGATCAATTCCTGCTCTCGTGCTCATTGGACTGCACAATAAAGGTGTGGGTTGCCACTGAAGGAGGCAACTTGGAAGTGACCTACACTCACAATGAAGAACATGTATGCTTTCCTTTCACAAAGCCTTTTCCACTTGTTATGTTATGTAGTTACGGTATTATGGTTGTTAGAGTATAAGGCAGTTAGTGATTCCTAGTGAACTGGGAAAACGTGTAGAACATCAATTTTGTGCCATTTAATTGCTTCTCTAAATTTTGTATTCTTATATAAGATGATGTTTCAAAATGTTTTTTCTTTATAGGGGATCTATAGAATAATTGATTTTCTGATCCGTTAATGTTCTAGATTTGAATGTATATTGTTTTCAGGGTAAAGGCTAACCTAATTTGATGGTGCTATTGTACATTCTACAGGGTGTTCTTGCTCTTAGCGGAATGCCAGATGCAGAAGCTAAGCCAATCTTGTTTTGCTCATGCAATGACACTTCTGTTCGCCTATACGAACTGCCATCGTGAGTACATGACACTCAGATTCTTCATGCTCCGATTCTTTTTACGATAAATTCCATTCTCACTTTATTGTGTGGTTATAGATTTACTGAGAGGGGCAGATTATTTGGCAAACGAGAAGTTCGGGCAATTCAGATAGGGCCCAGGGGACTATTTTTCAGTGGTGACGCAACTGGTCTCCTGTCTGTTTGGAAGTGGCTGGACCCTGGCCTCAAGGAACTGTCCTCATGACTCATTTGTTCAGTTTGTAAGAGCCATTACCATGATGGCGGGGAGGCATTGATGCTACAATTGTAACCATTTTGTATGTAAACTTTGACAATCCTTCAGTTATTCAAACTAGTTTTGTCATTGCGGTATGGATTGATTTGTTTGTACAGTATAATGTGCAGTGAGATTGTTAAATCCAAAAGATGATTAATTCTTCAGAATTCAATTTCACAGAAGTATAATTCTTTTTTTGGCCTAATCAAATCATATTTAGGGAGGGTAAAGGAGACTCAAACTTGGAACTAGTGGGTGTAGGACAATATTGATATGCCTTTGTTTAATTTCTCCTCTAGTTTTAGTCCAAAATGCTATGTACTTGACGGTTGATTAGTTAATCCAGAAGAAAAAAGGGTTAATTAATGTAATTGCGGTTTAAAAGTGAAAACGTAATTTAATTGCAGTTTAAAGGTGAAATCAATCCACATCGGACTGTTGCCCATATCCCATTATTCAACACCAATACCAATTATTGGGTATTAGTAGGATTGATTCCGACTTTTGGTGTGCTCCCAGGTCGGTCCGAATTCAAAACCTCGTGAATTTCCCTCTCCCCTCGGTAACTTTGGCCAAAGAAAAACACCAATTATTGAAGCCCATCCATTGATTTCAGACTTTCGGTGGAGAGCGACGCAAGCAGCTTTTAAAGGGCTCTTTGTTTGTGAACCTTTTAAAAAGTTTGGCACAACTCTGTATATTTATCATGCTCAATTTATTATTTTTGGGAGTTTCACTTTTATACCCAATATAGGAGTTCAAGTTATAAAAAAAACTTTATATGCAATGGACTTTAGAAAAAAAAATAAAAATTCATTTACAACATAACAAAGAGGCTTCGAACTTCCTATAAATTACAAAATTGCTATTGATTTCTTAAAACATGTCCAACCCTAAAACCTTATAAATAAAAAAAACTCAAAAAACTCAATAGGGCAGCGAAGTAATTTAGTAATCAAAATTAAATTTAACAGGGCCATCTATCATTTTTTGGGATTTATTTATAAAAATTAAATGATATATGATTTATTTATATCACTAGTGGTAATAATGGGTATATAACCAAATACGTAATTGTTATTTTTGGTTTTCAGCTAAAATCCATTCAAACCTTTTTGCTCTTCTCCATAAATTACTTAAACCCTGTGTGAGTTTTGGGTGGCGCAACAAAGTCTATGAAGGCTCAGAAAAATATGGTGCGGTCATTCTCTCGCAAAAGTTGGAACTTGGCCCTTCTGTCGAGAGTTGCAGTAGCAGCTTACCTCGAAGTCAGGAGACTTAGGGCTTCCTGATTTTGTCTCTATTATAAAAATTCTTTCGAGAATCTTCGATGGAAAAAGGCCTTTCGTGCATCAAGCTATAAACGCTTCCAAACAGTCCCCTACTTGATCATACATCTCAATTTTCCTTGTCTTTATTTTGTGTCACTTTTTTCTTCTTCTTATCCAACGAATTTAAATACAGTATACAGGTGCACTGATTGCTAATGTCATCTTTGGCTACTGGGGCACCCGAACGGCCCCAAAAATCCAATATCAATTTGCACATATTTTCCAAAGACCCCCCCAAACAATAATGCTTGAATGAATCTCTATGGATCAAGAAGCCATGCCAAAACCAAAACACTGTCGAACTCAAGCCTCTTCCGATGAGACTTTGCTGTTGCCAGGCTTACCAAACCACCTTGCACAGCTCTGCCTTGCAAAAATCAACCCTTCCGTTCTCTTCTCTGTTTGCCGCTCATGGCGGCGCCTTATCTACTCTCCTTCCTTCCCTCCTTTTTTCTCTCTCTACGCCATTCTCTCTCCACCACCACCTCATCACCACCACCACAACCCCAATTCCCCCGTTCAGTTCTCCTCACTAGACCCCATATCAAACACATGGACATCTCTCCCTCCTCCTCCGTCCTCCCCTCCTCTCCAACTCCTCCACTGCCACCCGTCCTTCCTCTCCCGAAAACTACCGATCCAATGGTTGTCCGTCTCCGGCCGCCTTGTCCTCGTTGCTGCCACTACCCACCAGTTCACACCAGCGATGCCTCGTCCTCTTGTGTTCCAACCACTGTCCAACCAGTGGTCCTTCGGCCCCCCGCTGCCCGAGCCGCGCCGCTGGTGTGGAGTCGGGACTGTGGGTGGAAAAGTGTACGTGGCTAGTGGGATTGGAACAACTTATAGAGGAGATGTTGCGAGGTCGATGGAAGAGTGGGACACGAAGAGAAAGGAGGCTTCTTCGTCATGGGTTAAGAAGGCATGCCTTAAAGATGGAAGGTTTAGCAGGGAGGATGTGGAGGCTATTGGGTACAGAGGGAAGCTATGGATGGTGAATTCAAAGGGCAATGCAGTCAAAGAAGGGGTTGTCTATGATGTGCAGAAGGACACGTGGCAAGACATGCCTCAAGGCATGCTTGGTGGATGGAATGGGCCAGCTGCTGCAACCATCAATGATGATGGTCATGATGATGATGTGATGTATGTGGTGGATGAGAGAAAAGGAGTATTGAACAAGTATGTTGATGAAAATGACTGCTGGGAAATGGTGATGGAGTCGGTTGTGTTAAGAGAGGCTGAGCAAGTTTGTGCCGGGAGGGGTAGAGTTTGTGTGGTTTGTGCTAACGGAAGAAAGATTGTGGTGGTAGATGTTGTGGCGACACCACCGCGAATTTGGGTGGTGGAGCCGCCGCCGATGTTGGAAGTTGTGGCGGTACACATTTTGCCTAGGATGTGTAGGCCGGATTAATATTTTAATTGCGCTTCATGATTCATATTAAGAATAGTTTAATATAGCTTAGTTATTAGTAGTATTTATTTGTATACCATGAATATGACGATATATCAATCCTCATAGATCACAATGTGTGTGAGTTTTTTTTTGGACTAGATAAATATGAAATGGAATTTTTTTGTTATAATTCCTATCAAATGCAATAAAGAAAAGAACAATGAAAAGTACTTAAGGATTATAATTTCTTTAAAGATTATGTTCTTTAGCTAGTTAACTATTTTACGAAGAAAAAAAAAAGAATGTTCTTAATTTAATGTGATATGAATAATATAAAGTTTTGTTTTTGGTAAAAAAAAGTTCTAAAGTTTGATTCCTTCTAGTATAACGAAGGGCAAAAAAAAAAAAATTGGTCCAGGGTTCCTTAATTAGGTAATAGAGTACTTTTCAAACACGTTTAGGGGGAGGGGAAGCTACTCCATCTCAGGTCCAGAGCATATCAACGCCTATTTGAGGACTTACAAAGGAAATCTTAGCCCTTTTTTTTTTTTTTTTTTTTTACAGATAAATAATAGAGTATTTTAGAAAAACAATACCACAGGCAAGTATTGAATAAATGTTCTATTTCCTATATTAATTTTCTCAACTTCAAATTTCTATTTCTTAAGAAAAAAGCAGTTACCCTATTCGAATAATACATTTGGAGAAGAAACCAATCAACAATTCAGAAACCAACATGAAAACAAAATCAAGAACACAAGAGATAAGGTCACAATCGGACCAAACTATACAGAGATAAGATAAGATCACATCACATCCATTGAAAGCAAGTGAGAGATGCAAAGGCCAAAACATGAAAAAGTGTCTCTTTGTTTTTCCTTGAAATAAACTTGACCAAGCTTGTAAAGTAAGAAATTCCAAATTACAAGTCTCAAGTTCCAACCACTAAAGGCAACAACATCTACCTTTACAAATTTATTATTGCCAACCATTAGCTATAAAGTTTTGTCCTGTGAACCCTATTGACCCGAAAAAAGTTATTTGAAGCCTTGTCAGAAAACTTTTGTCTTTGTTCATGGCATTGGCAACTAGCTTTTTTGAAGATCATAAAATAAACAGCAAGCAAGTGATTTATATTCTGAACGGCTCTTTATGCAGGAGGAGGAGGACCACCTTTAGAAGAGCTTCAAAGTTGAAAGCTACCACATATATAATTATATATTATATATGGTACATTAAATTTTGGTCACTTTTTATTATTATTCTAAAAAGTGCTTCGCTTTTGGAACATCTTCATGACGATAACAAGGGCTTTAAAGTGGAAAGATTAGCCGTTCAACTCTCACGATAAAAATTTGGGTCATATTCGAATTAATTCGCCAACTTGATAAAATATCTATATAATTTATTTATTAAACAAGTTGTGTCAACCAGCTAAAATAAATGAAAATGGTGACTTCGAAGCATACAAAAGGGGAATCAAACCATTGCCACTTCCTCCTCTTCTACAGCCGTCTTACCCACCATGCTGCTGAGAACTTGTGATTATTGTGGGAACAAATATTGTGATGACCAATGAACGGGTGACACGTGGAAAAGAAAAATTCCTTAGGTCATATAATCATCCTAATTAAACCTTATTTAATTAGGGAGATAATATTTGATTTAAGATGAGAATCTCTCCCTAAATCAAGGAAGAGATTTCCATCAAATCCCTTTGATTAATTCCAATCTCCTATTTTTGGGTAAGAATAATCCTAATTAAATTGAGATTATTCTTCAAATCTTATGAGGCAAGAGCTCTATAAATACACGGCTACACAACACACATGAGGTAATTCTAAACTTATACTCAAAACCCTAGCCGAATTCCCCCTCTCTCTCACGCCACTCTCTCCTCTCTCCCTCACGGTTCCGGCCACCCAGTTCTTTCGTACCGTAGAGAAAACTCTGACCTTCTATGTTATTTTTGTATATTTCTAAAAATCATCAACATGGCAATATGCAACCACAATATGTGATGACATTTTTGTCTTTTCAAAATATTTGCAATCAATTATGTATGTAACCACTCAATCTATCTCTTAAACACTTTAGATTTATAGGACTTGATTATGACTAAGAAAAACTGCAGAAATAAAATTATCTTTGACTCAATAAGAACTAAAGTTAGATCAAATCAGATCAAATTTGCTTAACTTGACAACGTAATAGGAGGAAGAAGCCCAAAGAAAAAAAAAAACCCTAGCCGCTCTCTCCCTCTGTGAGTTTCAAAGGAAAAACTTCAGAGGGAGAGGAGGAAGAAGCGTCATTGCCCCTCCTCCCTCTTCTCTCTTCTCATCTTTTTCTTTTGGGTTAGTGAATAAGTCTACTAAGGCGTTTTCAATAAGAAACCACTACTACAAAACTGGTCTAAAGGCACATTTCAAGGAGCACGAAACAAGGGTTTATGCCTTTTCAATCTCATTTGGCACAAAAAATACTTAAAGATGTCTTTTACACAAAAGACACATTTAATGTATGTCTAAGAACGAATTTATTTGTGCATATTGAAATTTGGGCACGAACTTTGTGTCTAATGCTAAAATCAGCTTCCATATTGTCACCTCACTGTCAGTGAGAGTAATTATTATAGTTTAAAAGCATGATTAATTGTGCTTTCCATAGGAAACGAAATTTTTTTTTGTGCCTTCAGGTTTTATATACTTTTTAAAAAAATAATTTATTCTACTTATCAACTCCTCATTTTAGGAGAAAAAAAATTATCTTCTCCTCCTTTTGCCTTCCCCCATACTCCTTCTCCATCCTTTGCTTTCTCGAAGACCATAACTCTTATCTCTAGAAACCCAAAATGAGCCTTCTTTATTCTCCTCCTTCGATTTTACCGATGTCTCCCTTCTCCCCCATCTTCCTCATCCTTCCCACCATCCTCCTCAACCACAGCATCCCCACTATGAAAAGCACTTGGAGCAGCTAAATAATAGGACTAAGAATAAGAAAATTCAAAGAGACGGAGACAACGATTCCAATAATCCCATGAACAATTGTAAATTGAAAGAGGTGATATATATATATACTCTTTCTCTGTTGGGGCTGCTCTAAATTCTTATGGATGGTCGACTACGTTCTTTGTGAAATGAACGAAAATTAAAAGTTTGTGTTTTGTAGGACAAGCCTAATAAGTTTGTAGTTGTTCACGGTTCCAATTGTAAGACAAAATAATTTTTCTTTGACTGTCTTGAAAGATGGTAAGTAAGAATTAAGATGTTGACAATTTTAATTTGATTGAGCTAATTGTGTATTTGCATAATTTTCATTTATACCCAATTCTTAAATCTAATCCTGTATTTATTTGCGCGAGTTTGGTTGCAAATTTTAATTTTAAAGAGCTTATTGTGTTTGCATTACTTGAAAGAGAGAGAGAACGTGGAGGCAAAGAGAGAGAGAGAGAGAGAGAGAGAGAGAGAGAGAGGTGAAGTGGCGCTGATTTGGATGGTAGAGGGATGTAAGAGGTGGCGGTGCTTGGCAACCCTAATTTTTTTTTTTTGTTGAAAAAGTAAATACATTGGGCACAGATGAATGGTTTGTGTGTATGTACAAAAGTCAAATCAAAAGCAGCAATCGATGTTGTCAGATATATGCCATATACGTGCCCAAAAGTATTGAGTTTAAGACACCAAATAGTAAAATCGTGCCCTATGAATAATAGAAACTCCTATAGAGGAAACCGACTATTTTAAAGTGGCTACATTGTGGCCATCAGTATAGAGCACGAATAATTATGCCTTTTTGCATTAAAGAGCACAAATAACAGTTGTGCTCAAAACCAAATATTTTAGTAGTGAACCCCTTGTGGTGATTTCTTCTAAGCCATGCTCAAATTGAAGTTTCTCATTACTCCTTTTAGGCTATGTTCTCAATCAAATCTTTCTCCCAAAACCATCTCTCTAACACTACTCATGTTCTCTGTTGGTTCAACATCGTCTTTGACGGAGGTTGCTGCAAATCACCTAATTGTTCTTTGGCAGGGTTGTTGTTTTCGTTTATTTGTTCGCTATTATGCATAGGTATATTGCTGGAAATCATATCTTCCCTAGATTTAGTGCGGTGTGGGGGGTGTGGCTGGTGGTAGTGTTCATTTAGGCTCATGGATATCTTTAGGGCTCGGTTATGTTGGGTTTGTGGGTTTTTTTTGGGCTTATGGTTAATTGTGGTGATGTGGGCTAGTAGTTTTAGTGTGGCTTTTGTTCGCTCTAGTTTTGTTTTTAAAATGTTAGTTTGTTGCCCTCTCTTGGGATTGGTACTTTAGATGTCATGTTAATTTATTTGATTGTACTATTGAAATTTATGTAATAAAGTTTACATTTGATAGAAAAAAAAAAACAAAACAAAAAACTAAAGTAAAATATAAGTCAGAATTTTAGCCTTTTCTAAAATAGGCATGAAGCTCTAACCTTGAGCATAAAAACAAATTTACGGACATTATTACACTACAAGGAGGAAAACATTCGAAGTATGTGAAATGTTTTCACTTGAGAATAATGCCCTGCACCACAATTAATTTCCATAAAAAAAAAAAAAGGTAACTAAGAGCATCCACAATCATGCTCCTTATTTTTTAGTTAAAATTTAGCTAAAAACACTATAAAGCTATTTTAGGAGTTCCTTTTAGAGCATCCACAATGATGCTCTCTATTTCTTAGCTAAAATTTAGCTAAAAATATAAGAAAGCTATTTTAGGAGTTCCTTTTAGAGCATCCACAATGATGCTCTCTATTTCTTAGCTAAAATTTAGCTAAAAATATAAGAAAGCTATTTTAGGAGCTCTCTAAAAAATTTCAACTCCAACCATACTCCCTACTTTGGAGAGTCATAAATGCTATAACTCTTTTTTGATTGGTCCATCTCTATTAAAAAAAAAAATAGTTTGCATTAAATAAAGGTTTGAAATACTAATTAAATAAGGCAGGATTAAATTATAGGGAGCCACTAGAAGTCTTTTCTCTCTCCTCAGATTTAGGAGCTCCTAGAGGACTCCCTATTTTAGGAGGTGGATAGGGAGCATGGTTGGAGTTGCATTTTTACAATTCCTCCCTAAAATTTGTCTAATGATGTGGTTTAGGGAGCCCATTGCGGATGCTCTTAAAATTTCAACTCCAACCACGCTCTTTAATTTAGGGAATCATAAATTATTTATTTATCTATTTTTTGGTTTAGCATAAATGCTCCCTCTTCATATAAAATAATAGTAAAAAATAGTTAGCATTAAATAAATATTTAAAATAGCATTAAAGTAAAGCAGCATTTAATTATAGGGAGCCACTACAAGTCCTTTCTCTCTTCTCAGATTTAGGAGCTCCTAGAGGTCTCCTTATTTTAGGAGTGGATAGGGAGCATGGTTGGAGGTTTGTTTTCTCACTTCCTCCCTAAATTTTATGTAAAGAGGTGGTTTAGGGAGTCTATTGTGGCTGCTCTAAAGAATAGCAAATTATACATGATTTTAGGTGACCAAAGATAGGTAATTACTATAGGGCATATTTTTGCTTACCACTTTAACCCAAGGTGTACCCTCACCATCCATCTCAACACTTGACGTCCTTGGCATAACCATAGTTAACTTTTTACTTTGTATTTATGCAACCATGGTTATGTCAATAGACACGTGTCAAATGTTGAGAACGATGGTGAGGGTACACCTTGGGTTAAAGTGGTGAGCAAAAATGCTCCCAATTACTATATGTCATCACCATTGCTTTTAAGTTTTAACAGACATTTAAACAAGTAAACAAACATAAAGATAGAATTAGAATAATTTCAATATCCGGTACAAGTAAACTAACATGTATTACTAATTATTGAGTCTCATATGATCCATTATTCGCATATATTGTCGTACTGGAATAGGTAGATTATTGGGCTAGCCTGCAAAGTGCTCATTGTTATCGAACAATCATGTGGTGGGTTGGATATTATTAATAGTTGGCCGAAGGCCTAGAAAAGAAAAAAAGAGTAATATGCTGAATTGCCGTCAGTTTAGAAATATAGAAGAAGAAAAACCTAATTACATATCAATATTGCCTAAACTATTGTAATAACATAATGAATACCTAAATTGGATAGGTTTTATTAGTGAATGCGTTTGGAACATACCTCAATTTCTTCTCACTAATATCAACCTCGTGGGCAAATAAGAAATTATCAAAATTAAAGGAGGCCCCTGGCTTGTATGAATAGTCACCAAAAGCTGAGTTCGCCTGGCACCTTCTGAATTGAGCTTGATGAATTCGATACCTATGATTGCATAGAAAGTATTTGCCCCTTCACATCTCAGATTTTGATGCTGAAACTGATCCTGGCACATCTCCAGCCTTAACAACATTTTGGTTCCAAGGAAGTGTTACTATATCTTCACCATGCGATCCAACACCCTTACCCTTATTTTCTTCTTCATGCACAAGTTGGATCGCGAACTCCTTTGCCCACAAACCTGACTTCACCGAAATGCGTAGTTCTTCCCCGCCTTCCAACTCATCGTCCCCGAAAATCCAGTGGCTCAGCCATAACATGTCTTGGTTTTCTCTTGGAAGAGCCATTGCCACAGGGGAATAGGTCCACATGCGACCCTTGGTCTCATTGCTCACCTTAACAAAGTGTTCACTGGCAACACGTTCATCACCCTTATGATCAGGGCGTCGTGCATATAAAACGCATGCGTTTAAGCCTCGAATCTTGACGTTAGGATTTGCAGGTTCAACAATCGACAACACCAAGTTACCTATGCTTATGTAGCTGAACCAATCTGGAATTTTGCTCCCAGGAAGGAAGATGCTAAATATGCCGCATTCGTTCAGTCCCTGTATCCTTCTCCTTTCCAATGAAGAAATAGGCTATATGGAGGAATATATTTTTGTCATGATCATCTCGCAGAGAATCATAGCTTATTCTAAGAATTTTTTGAATCTTGACATTAGGAATTTCACATAACTTCTGTAATGCACTATGCCATACGTCTACTTCTTTCCCAGATAAAGAAGATCCCAGAACTTGAAGAGCTAATGGAATTACTCCACAATGTTCTACTGCAGGTCTTGAAAGTTCCATGTAGCCTTCGATAGGCTGGGGTTGTCCGAAGGCATGCCAACTGAAAAGCTCAAGTGATTCATACTCATTCAATTCTTCAACCTCAAACATTGTGCAACCTTCATGAGCTTTTAACAAATGTTCATGTCTGGTTGTTATGATAATTTTACTTCCTGGATAAAACCATTCTCTCATTCCAAGAATTGCATTAAATTGATCCAAATCGTTCACATCATCGAGAACAATAGGAAGTCTTTTGTTACATACAGCATGTTTGATCTTGATTATTCCTTCATCTATGTTGTCTATTTTCTTTGCTTTCCCCTTTTGGATATCTGAAAGAAGTTTCCTTTGCAAGCGAACGAAACCATAGGGCTGTTCTGCAGCTTCTCTAATATCTGCAAGAAAGCTGCTGCCTTGAAATCTTCCAAAGTTGCGGTTATAAGCAGCTTTGGCAATGGTGGTCTTGCCAATTCCTCCCATCCCATAGATCACAGCTACACCAACAGCATTTGATCCATCTTCTAACCACATGTTTATGCCTTACACGCGATCATCTATTCCAACAGCATAGGGAGCAACATTCAATACCTTCGGATTCAACTTATTTCCAATCTCTTTAACAATGTCTTGGATAACTGCCACTCATACCTATGAATTTTCGATCATATCAAAGTATAGAAAGCAAAATAAGATCATGTTTATTAATTTTTCCTAATAGATTATCAGTTGAAATGAATATATGAAAGCCTCGTGCTAATGCAAATTGAGTATAGGATATGAAATAAATTGAAATCTTCTTGATAAAATGTGGTGCTAAGGTATTTTAAACCAATTAAAGTTGAACCTAATATTTTAAAACATGTCAAAATTAATGAAAAATCTGATGCTTACAAATTAAAGTGCATATATGCATAGAATTTTACCTATCTTTTAAAGCCATCCCTGCCAGATCTGCAGCATCTTTAAGCGCTCTTCTCCATTCCTCCACCTTGTTCATCTCCTCCTTGAAGCGCTCTTCATGTCTAGAAAATGCATCTGCAAAGCTCCCTCTCTGGTTCCTGACATGGGATGGTTCCTGACATGGGATAGAAAACCGGCATAACAATATGGCCATCATTATGTTTTCTACGTTCCATTATCTTCACCAGTTCGTCCAAGCACCACCTTGAGGAAGCATAGTTTTGGGAGAAGACGATTATCGATACTTTCGACTCATTTATTGCTTTGTTAAACTCTGCTGCGATATCTGCTCCTCTCTCGATTTCATCATCGTCTCTAAACGTGTGGATTCCTGCCAGCTCCAAGACCCTATAAAGGTTATCAGTGAAGCCCTTGCGTGTATCTTCGCCTCTGAAACTCAAGAATGAGTGATAGCTACACCGGTAAAAGGAGGAAGAAGAAGCATCGTGCAGCATGGGGTTTAAAGAAGTAGCCATTGATGCAGCAATGAATGAATGAAGATTATCAGCTTTCAAAATTATGCAGTTTGTGATCAAAGTGGTCGTAAAGTCCACCAACACTGTTTTATGATTCCAATTCCACACTGAGATGTAATAAACATTGAAGACGAACTTATTCAAAATTTTAAATTAAAAATGTATGAAGGGTCACAACCTCCATTACATTTTAATTGTTAAATATTCATTAAATTAAAAATGTTAATTAGAAGAAAGAGTGTGATGTGAGGTCGGGTTGGTTTTACAAGGTAGATGAATTTTGTAGTGGTGGTGGGAGATGAACGCCAGCAATCGTAAGTATTAATGTGAGGCGTAAATCGTCTTAAGGTCAAAGTGTCAAATGCTTGCCTCGACAAAATTTAAGATTTTTATAATTCAAAATTTATATGTTGTATTTAATTTTCTGATTGTGTTGAATTAATAAATAGGTATCTAATTCCATTTAAATGCCGGTCTTCCTACTTCTAGGCTCTCACCATGTTACTGTTTTATTTGACTTTTTATACAGTTAGTTTTTATTGGATTTGAGTTGTAAAAGCTAATCTTTTCCTGTTATTTTTTCAAAAAAGATATATTCTTGTTTGGTTTCCATCCCAGCCTCCTCTCTGCGTTTACATGAAATTGTTTATTAATTACCTTTTTTTTTTGTCATTCGCTAGGAAGGGGGAGGGGGAGAATTTGATCAACTTTTTTCCACTGTGGTGTCACCCCATGTGCTTATTAATTGCATTTTGATTGTGATAGAAAGTAATTGTGCCTCAAAAAATTTGGCTTTTCCCTTTGAAATTCATTTGTTCTTATCTGCAACCCATCAACTTATTTTTCTATAAATAAAACTCTGACTAGCAACCAACTCAATAAGTTACCTAATCAAGTTCAAAATCTAATTTATTGTACTTTTTAGATTCCAAAAGTACCCCTCATTACAGTTTATATTTCCTCAATTAATTATGTTGATTTCTTATTATATTGTTAACTTATTTTTCAACTGATTTGGTGTCATTTAATGTTTATTTTTGCCAAATTGGTGGCATTTAATGTTCTTATTTGTTTCTTTTACAATTAATTTAGTTCCTTTGTCTTCTTTTGGCGTGGGAATTTTATTTTATTTTTGTTGCAATATATTCAATTTTCATTCCATCAAATTCTTACCAATTCTCTTTAATTCAATTTTCGTTTATAAATTAATTTACTTATTCTTTTAAGGAAAATACTTCCTTCCCTTTTAAGTAGAACTCCAACATTCCTGCCAGTGATTGGATGACATGTGTGCATGAATTTTTCTTTTTGTGGTTTTTGATGAATTATTTTTGCACATGTGTCAAACCGTGATTTGCAGGAAGGAGATCCTTCTAGAGAAGGAGGCAAGCAATTCAAAATTATCATGTACGTATTTTTAATTGTATTTTCAAATATAAGCAAATCATTATACTTAAAAATATAGGTAAGTTAATATACATTGTCTTAGCAAAAAACGGAAACAATTATAGGTAAATAATTTACTTATATAATCTAGGTAAATTAGGGATGCATATAGATAAATAGTGTATCTATATATTTTTACCTATATAATAAAAGTGTAAATAATGTACTTATCTTTTCATTTTAGTTTATGAATTAGGCACCTATCTTTTTATATCTAAATAATGTACTTATTTTTTCTACATAAATTGTATCTATTTACCTATCATTAGATATGTAGGGTTTTTTTTATAAAAAAAAAAAATTTGTTTTTGCATATATCATCATAATTTTCCAAGGGACAATTACCTAATCAATACTTTTTAGGCGAAAAAATATTAATTTGTATTAGGTATATTTTCTTCGTTTGTTTAGCTATAATATTATTATTATTTATGTATATTATTATTGAACATATGTATTAAGTGTATTAAATTGTTATATATGTATATTGGTGTGTTCATTGATTTATTTGGTTGAAACGTTTTATTATTGAATAGGTTTCCAAATTAAAAGGAATCAAATATAAATGCTAAAAATAAGGGATTTGACAAGTAAGGTAGATGACATACTCATATGCGTTTTGGTGTCGGATCTCTACTACCATCCTTTTTACGGTTTCTTTATGTTTGGAATAAGTCGCAAAGACTATTTGAGTTTTCTTTGTAGTTTCACCTCTCCTTTTGTGAGAGTTTTTCACCTTTCCTTTTGTGAGAATTTTCCACCTCTCTTTTGTGAGAATTTTATTTGTATTTTTATGGCTTTATGTTTTGGAAAATGCTAGGCTTATCATAATTTTCATACCACATTTGTACCACCTCTCTAATAGAGATGGGCCCCGTTATATTAGTGGGCTCCACCTCTATTAGAGATGTGGTACAAATGTGGTATGAAAATTGTGGTAAGCCTAGCATTACCCTTATTTTTTTCAATCTTTATTTTTTTTTGGTTCTAAGTTTGCAATCTTAGTTGAGATACTTATGCCTGAGTGTTCGATCTTGCGTAATCGTTAGTGGAGGCGCACCATATTGTCTTAATTTTGATGTTCGATTACTCTATTATTGTAATGACTCTTTGTGACTTTTTTGTATTAACCTTTTGTGACTAGTGGTTTTTTTAGCTAAATTATAAATGGAATTCCAAAATTTCTAAAAAAAATAGGTAGATGACATAATCTATAAATTTGAAATTTGAGTTTTTCATAAAAGTTAATAATTTGGTGGGTTTATGTCTAAAATAAAAGAGGAACTATTGTTTCCCAAAGACTAGTAGGCACGAACAAATCCATTTACATACCACACTACATGCATGATGTTCTATTTCAATTTTTGCATGCAACCTCCCGTCATTTGTATTTGTGTTAAAAGAAGATGTTGTTGTTTAAAACTGTGCGTTTGTGTGTGAAAAAGAAAAGGTCAACGTTTTTTTATTCTTCAACTTAAACAATATTGAAACTGCCTGCAACTCCTCTATCTATTTTATGTTTTCTATGTTTTCACTCCAAAGAATGAATAAGATATATGCCACGGCTGTATATAGGATAATCAAAATTTTGTGAAATATAGATAAATGTACAATCTTTAAATGTAAAGGCTCGGAATCCGGAATAATAAATATGTTAGGAAGGTCTAAAGTTTTATTTCCTCTAGTGTAACAAAAGAAAAAATTGATCCAGGGTTCCTTAATTAAATAATAGAGTAATTTAGAAAAACAATATATCTTTACAAAGAATTCCAATAATGTTTAGTTTGACAAGTATTGAATAAATGTTCTATTTTCTTTTTTAATTTGCTCAAATTTGACAAGAAAAAGGCAGTTACCCTATTTGTGGAGAAGAAACCAATCAACAATTTCGAAACCAACATGAAAACAAAATCAAGAAGACAAGAAATAAGATCACATGCATGAAAGCAAGTGAGAGGTGCAAAGGCCAAAAAAATGAAAAAACATCTCTTTATTTTTCCTTGAAATGAACTTGATGAAGCGCAATGGATTTATAATTAAGTGATTAAAAATATTTATCCCTATCTTAGAAGTCTCATTTTGAATTTTCTCTTTCTCAATATCACTTATATAAAAATAAATAAATAAATAAACACTTGACCAAGCTTGTAAAGTAAGAAAATAAGCCAATAATTTAATATTGCCAACCATTAGCTAATTTAAAGGCAACAACAACTACTCCAACAACATCCACCTTTACAAATTTAACAATGCCAACCATTAGTTATAAAGTTATGTCATGTGAACCCTATTGTTGACCCAAAAAAGTTCTTTGAAACCTTGTCAGAAAACTTTGGTCTTTGTTCATGGTATTGGCAACTAGCTTTTTTGAAGATCACATAAAATAAACAGCAAGCAAGTGATTTATATTCTCAACGGTCCTTTATGCACGAGGAGGACCACCTTTTGAAGGGCTTCAAAGTTGAAACTTGAAAGCTACCACATATATAGAATAATATATTATATATGGTACCTTCAATTTTGGGCACTTTTTATATGTCACCTCTTTTTTTAAAACAAAAAGTTTAGGGGAGGTTGGGATAGGGTACAAAGGTCTCTTTAAGGACTTACAGATGAGATTTTTAGCCCATTTTTTAGTGTTTATAAATT